GTCTGTATTGCTATGAACTTCCCTCTTAGGACCACTTTAGAGGCAGCCCAAAGATTTTGGACCATTGTCTTTTCAACTTTGTTTCCATGTAATTTTTGACTTCTTTAATTTCTTGGTTGATTCATTCATTATTTAGCAGCACACTATTTTAACCTCCAAGCATTTGCTGCTCTCTTTACAGATTTTTTTTCCTGTGGTTTTCTAATTTCAGAGCATTGTGATCAGAATAGATGCATGGTAGGACTTTGATTTTTTTAAATTTGTTGAGACATCTTTTGTGACTGAATATTTGATCTATTCTGGAGAGCGTTCTGTGTGCATTTGAAAAGACTGTGTACTCTGCTGTTTTAGGATAAATGTTCTGAATATATCTGTTAAATCCATCTGGTCCAGCATGTCATTCAAAGCCACTGTTCCTTTGTTGATTTCCTATTTGGATGGTTTGTCTGTTGATGTAAGCGGGATGTTAAAGTGCCCTACTATTATTGTATTATCAATTATTTCTTTTTTGTTTGTTATTAACTGTTTTATGAATTTCTGTGCTCCTATGTTGGGTACACAGATATTATTATATAGTGTTCTTCCTTATCACATTACAATTTTTGTTTTAAGTCTATTTTGTTCAATGTAAGTATTGTTACCCCAACTTGCTTTTGACGTCCATTTGCATGATACTTCTCCATCCCCTCACTTTCAACCTGTAGGTGTCTTTTGGTCTGAAATCAATCTCTTGTAGGCAGCATATTGATAGGTCTTGTTATTTTATCCACTGTGTCACTGTATGTCTTTTGATAAGAGCATTTAGTCCATTTGCATTCAAGGTAATTATTTATGGGTATGTATTTATCAACATTTTGTTATTTGTTTTATGGTTATTTCTAAATATTTTCTCTGATCCTTCTCTTGCTGTCTTTCATAGTGTGTTGGCATTCTTTAGTGATGGACTGGATTCCTTTCTCTTTATTCTTTGCATATGTATTACTGGCTTTTGATTTATGGTTACCATTAGTTTTGTATATAACATCTTCTGCATACAGTAGTCTATATCAAGTTGATGGCCACTTAAGTCAACCCATTTTTACCCCCTCACCCCGTTTTAGGTATATGGGGTCATATTTTACATGCTTTTTAAGTCCTTTGATAATATTTATAATATCAGTATTATAAAACAAATATTTTTACTGCTTTTGTGCTTTCTACAGTTCATACTCTCACTTATGGTCTTCCTTTTCCAGTCAAAGAGTCCACTTTAATATTCCTTGTAGGGCTGGTTTAGTGATTATGAACTCCATCAGATTTTGTCTGAGATACTCTCTCTCCTTTTATTCTGAATGATAGCTTTGCTGGATTGGATATTCTTGGTTGTAGATATTCCCTTTTACCACTTTGAATATATTATCCCACTCCCTTCTGGCTTACAAAACTTCTGCTCACAAATTCACTGATGGCTTTATGGGATTTCCCTTATATTTAATAGTCTTCCCCCCTCCTTTGTTGCTTTAACATTTTTTTATCACCACTTTTTGCCATTTTAATTACTATGTGTCTTGATGTGGAACCTTCTTGGGCTGAATTTTTGGAAGGTTCTCTGTGCCTCCTGGATCTGGACATCTGTTTCTCTCCTTAGAATAGGTAAGTTTTCAGCTACTATTTCTTCAAATAAATTTTCTACCCCCAATCTCTCTTCTTCTTCTGAAATCCCTATAATATGAATATTATTATGCTTGATGGAATCACTGAGTTCCCTTAGACTATTCTCAGTTTTCTTTCCTCTCCTTTGCTCAGCTTGGTTACTTTTCATTACTTGTCTTCCAGGTCACTAATTTGTTCCTCTGCTTCATCTAGCCTGGTATTTATTCCATCAAATGTATTTTTAATTTCATTTACTGTGTTCTTCATCTCTCTTTTTTTAATCTCCTTGTTAAGGGTCTCAGTGATGCCCTCTACTCTTTTCTCAAGTCTAGGAAGTATCTTTATGATCATTACTTTAAATTCTCTATCAAACATATTACTTTCATCTGTTTTGCTTTGGTTTCTCTTGGTGGCTTGTCTTGTTCTTTCATTTGGGAGATATTTCTGTCTCCTTATTTTGTCCCACTTTCAATGTCTGTTAGGAAAGTCAGCTACTTCTCTTGCTCTTAAAGTAATAGTCTTGTGAAGAAGAGGTCTTATAGTGCCCTCCAGTGCTGTGTCCCCTATTGCTCAGGGCCTGGTGTTTCAGGGAATGTTTCCTATGTGCATTGCATGTGCTCTGCTATTGAGTCTTGGCATATTTTTCCTTCAGTCCAGTTACCTACAGAGGATCTTTTTGCCGCTTGCGGTCCTCAGCAGGAGTGGCATAGATTTTAACAAGGTGTGTAGTAGTCTGCTTGTGAAATGGGATCTGCTCCTCCTGCTGCCAGAAGAGAGGCCCTGCAAAATGTACGTGTCAGCAGATTTGGTGTTGGCAGGGTTTGTGCCAGTCTTCTGGGGGCGAAATCTGCAGCGCCAGGACTGAGGTAGGTGTGACTGGGAAGGGCTGATCTGCCAAAGCATGAGGAGGCAGGGCTCAGTGCAAGCAAGTTAGGTAAGGAGCGTAGGTACCGCGGTGGTTCCCACAGGTGGCCACTATTTATTCAGGAGGGGGGCAGACAGGGAAGGGAAATGGTGCCTGCCAGCTCCTTTTCCTGGAGGCATCTCTTGGTGATCCCTATGTCTCTGGGCCACACTCTGTGATGACAAATCACTTTCCCTCCCACTTTCCCTGACATTTTTCAAACTGCTGGTTCTATCTTGTATCTGTATGGACTATTTGTAGTCCTCTTTATGGGCAGGAACTCCACTTTCTTCTCCCCTCTATACTCTCCCAGAGCCGAGTATGCCGATTTTTTAAGATTCCAGGTTTTAAGTCCCTCTGATTGTGAGAACTCAAGAAATTTAGCCCCTCTCATTTTCAAAGGCAAATATTATGAGGATTCATCCTCTCTGTTCATGGGTTCCCCAGTGTGAAAGTCTGTTTTCTGCCCTTCTCCACACCACTGGCTCCCTCCCCACCAAAGATGGCCACAGTCCCTTTTGCTTCCAGACCCTGTCTTTGACTTTCCTACCTCCTTTGACGTGGCCTCTTCCCTACCTTAGTTGCAGAGTTTGTTCTGCCTGTCTTTCTTAGGTCATTTGAGCTATTTACACTGGTTTGTTATCTAGTTGTATCCATGGGATGAAGCAGGCTTAGGGTCCTCCGACTCCACCGTCTTCCCAGGCAACCTTATTCCACAAGCTTTTTGAAATGAAGCCTTCTCTCTTGTCAGCCTTCAACTGACACAAATTAGTCAGCTGGGGGCAAGAATATTTTATAAATGGTGCTCTGTATTTCATTTTGCTTCTCATTAGGACACATATAAAATACTACTTCTAAATTTTGCTATATTCAATAACTATTAAAGGGTTAATAGAATAGACCACAAGGGACAAGAAAATGGAATGTTATGATGCTATCTGAATAATTAAAGTGTGAGATGATGGTGGCCCACTCCAATGTACTAGCAATAGAGGTGATGGGAAATGGTCAGATTTTTATATAATTTGAAGCTTGAATTTTGAGAGGAAAAAATGACTCTAGGAAATTTGGCCTCACATACTCAAAGGATGGATTTGCTATCACTTGAGATGGAGAAAGTCATGGGTAGAACATGTTTAGGGGAGGTGGAAAGGATCCGCAGTTCAGTTTGAGATGCTAATTTTAAGATGCCTATTGGCCAGCCATGTGGGATGGAAGCTGAAAATATGAATCTGCAGTTTGGGAAAGAAGACTAGATTGGGGATATAAATTTGGGAATCCTTAGCATAAAGTTGGTATTTAAAGCTTTTATATTGAATGAGTGCAGATGGAGAAGAAACAAAGAGCTGCTGCCTGAAATTCTCCAATATTAAGAGATTAGGAAGAAGAAAACCCAGCAAAGAAGACTGAAAATGAACAAGAAAAGCAGAAGGAAAACCAAGATGTGTATGTGAAATGCCAAGTGAATGAATTATGTCAAATAAGAGTGATCAACAGTGTCAACTGTTGCATACAGAATAGACCAAAAATATGTGGGATAAGAATTAAACAACAGATTTAGTAACATAGAGGTGAATTTAACAAGAGCAATTTTGGTGCAGTATTGGAGTGAAAATTTGATTACAGCTGGTTTAAACAGAAAATGGGGAGAAGGTACTGGGAGTTTGAGAAGGTATAAAATAGTTGTCTAGAACAGTAGAAAAGTAAATGAGTGAGTGGAAGACAGTCTGCCTGCCAGTAAAAGGTTCTAGTTGAGATTCATGGTACTGAATTTAAAGTGAGAACAGTGTTCATGTTGGTATACTTTTCTCTAGCCATGTTCCCTTTTAGGCACAGGTATAGCATAGATGAAGAATTAGATTAACCAAGGTTTTTGTTTTGCCAAGCAGTATAATGAAATGAGAGAGGGGTAAGGAGTCAAGTGTCAGAAAAAGAGTAATCCAGACTGCTCTATGGTATTTAAACTATGGAGGGTATCACAAGGTAAGGAATAAAACAGACAAACAAAAACACACAGGTGATAGGATCAATGCACTGGGAAACCCAATATAATCAAGAGTACTTAGAGGAAATGAACTACAGATAAAAGAACTGGAATAAAATAACTGTACTCAGACAATGGGATACACGGTGGAGTTAATATCATATACTTTTTAAAGGGTGCCTGGGTGGCTCAGTCAGTTAATCGTGGGACTTCAGCTCAGGTCATGATCTAACGGTCTGTGAGTTTTGAGCCCCCGTCAGCTCAATGCTGACAGCTAACTCAGAGCTGGGAGCCTGCTTCAGATTCTGTGTCTCCCTCTCTATCTCTCTCTGCTCCTCTCTGGCTCACACTCTGTCTCTCTCTCAAAAATAAATAATAACATTAAAAAATATGTATCTAATACCTTATATAATCCGTATTTTTGCTTTAAGCAAGCTTTTCTTATATTTTCTTATATTTTAGTTTAAAAGATTTTCTTACCTCTGATGAGGAAGGTCGGCTTGGACTGAGGGACATATTCACCAATGTCTGAACAGGGTAATTACCAGTTGGAATTTTGTGGGGTTTTTTCTCTTTCTTCATTTAAGTAGTATTTGTAAAGGTTAGAACAGATTTTTCACTTGTTTAAGATAGCATTCCACTCATTTCTGGTCTCTGTTCATTAAAAAAGTGAAAAGAAAAACACAAGAATCTTTAAAATAGGCTGAAAATGAAAACTTAGGAATGTTCACAATCTCATTATAATAATTTAAAAAATCTATTACTAGTAAATATATATATATATATATATTTATACATATATCAATGGGATATGTATATATCCCATACAACTAAATAAAGTGTTAAGTTACATTATAATAGACTTGTGACCAGGGCATATTTTACTATTCTAAACAATTTTCTCAAGGTTGAAAATTAAAGATATATGGTATTTTACATAAAGTAGAAGTATGTTTCTGGAAGTAGAAAGACTAAATTTGTGCAAATGGCTATAGGATGAAAACCGTTTTACCATAAAGATATATTCCTGGGCTTGATACCTCAACAATAAATGTGAATAATTATTCCATATGAAAATACCAGTATTTAAGTACTTTAAGCTATGTTTGTGTGTTTTCTGTATTTTTCTCAGAGGATTTAAAGTTTACAAGAATACACAATAGCATTTAAATTATATAAATATATAATAAAAATTGAAAAGGTAGCTGAATTACTCTAAAAAGGAATTATCAAGGTAGGACAATCCTTAACGATACAATGTGATGCCAATACCAGAACAGAAGCCTTTTCAAGCTTTCAAAGCATTGCTCCATCTTGATTAATATTCAAATAGTATGTCCAACAAAATTTAAAATCTGTTATTTGGTACTGATTACAGCTCTATGAAATCATATCAGAGACCACTAATGATTCTAATGATATCAAACTTAAAAAGATACATCCTGGGATATAGCCTCTTTTAAATCAAGTTAGTTTCATATATTACTTCCTGTGCAAATTTCTTAAAATAATTAAAACTTAAAATGTGATTTGTTATTTTAACCATCTCAAGCATTATTTTAATTACATTAGTATTTTTTCAACTATTTAGATATTTCCATTTCTATACCCATCCAAAGGCTCCTTCTGCCATTGTAGGAATATTAGCCTCTGTTACAAACCTAAATAAGGATATTACCATATATGTATCTGATTACATAAAAATTATTTGTAATAACCAATAAGAATTACAGTCCATGGGCATGCAAATTGCTACTGATGTGAAAACTGGGAGGCTGGGATTGTTAATTTTTGTGGATGCATTAAAACCTGGTCATTTTGGGGGTACCTGGTTGGCTCAGTTGGGTAAGCATCTGACTCTCGATTTCAGCTCAGGTCATTATTTCATGGTTCATGAGATGGAGCCCAAATTGGGTTCTGTGCTGATAGCATTAAGCCTGCTTGGGATTCTCTCTTTCCCTCTTGCTCTGCCCCTCCCCATTGTACATATGTGCACATTCTCTCTCTCTCTAAATAAATAAACATTAAAAAAACTTCACATTTTCATTCAGAACAAAGTTTTAATTAAGCAAACTCAAATCATTAACCAAGACCTGCTTTAATACTGTCCTCAGGTAAACTGCCTAATTACATTATCCCTTCTAAAGGTATAGCAAAGAAGCCATATTTTCAATAACTTCCTTTGTCATTTCTGACTGGATCAGTGCTGAATACTAAATGCTGGACAATAAAATGGCATGGCATGTAAAGATGAGACCTTAGAAATCAGAACAGGGAGAAAGAACTCAAGATTCAATATCTTCAAAAATAGATTATCATTAGTCAGTTATGGGTTTGAGAGGGAGTAAGTGCTTGTAGATAATCACCTACCTGTCATCTTTGATCTGATCTGTACTTTAAAGAGAACCACCTATTGTACTTTCACAGCATTTTCCCAAAATGACTTTGGGAGGAAGCAGCAGAACTGAAAATCAAGCTTAAAAATTTCTGGCACTTGATGACCTAGTGCTGAAAACACAAGATACTGCCACCCCATGCCTACTTCAGCTCTACCCATCCCACTGGGGTGGCCCTGATACAGAGTGCTACAGAACTCCCAGTCTGTGCCCACTCCAGCTCCAGCCAAAGCCACCAAGCATATGCAGACTATACAGGGATGGTTCCTATGCAACATCATTCCTTCAAGACTAGGTGAAATTGCTCTTTCACCTAATTCATAGAAACAAACACAAAAAATGAAACAAAATGAGGAGACAGAGAAATGTGGTCTCAATGAAATGATATTTGTCTAAATGAAAACAAAACCATAGAAAGAAGTAAATGAAATGAAGATAAGCAACCTAGCTAATAAAGAGTTCAAAGTAATGGTCAAAAAGATGCTCACCAGTCTGCAGAAAAGAGTGAATAAACCAAGTGAAAAAATATCCCATGAAAGGGATAAAAATATTCAAAAGAACCAGCCAGAGTTGAAGAATATAATAACTGAAATGAAAAATACACTAGAGGGAAACAATAAGGGATTCAGTAACCTGGAAGACAAAGTAATGAAAAGTATCCAAGCTGAACAGCAAAAAGAGAAAAGAATTTTTAAAAATGAGGAAATTTTAAGAGAACTCTGGAACAATATCAAACATACTAACATCTGCATTGTAGAAATCCCATAAGGAGAAAAGAAAGAGAAGGGGGCAGAAAACTTATTTGAATAGATAATAGCTGAAAACTTCCTCAACCTGGATAAGAAAACAGAGATGTAGTCCCAGTAAGCAGAGACAGAATCCCAAATAAAATAAACCCAAAAAAGTCCACATCAAGCCTCTAATAATTAAAACATCAAAAGCTGAAGATTAAGAGAGAATTTCAAATGTAACAAGAGAAAAACAACGAGTTACATACAAGGAAAACCCTATAAGGCAATCTATCACCTGATTTTTCAGCAGAAACTCTGCAGGCTAGAGGGTTTGGTATGATATATTCAAAGCACTAAAAGGGGAGAAAAAAATACAACCAAAAATACTGTACCTGGCAAGGTCATCATTCACAATTGAAGAAAAGATAGAGTCTCCCACACAAACAAAAATTAAAGGAGTTCATCACCACTAACCTTACAAGAAAAGTCAAAGGGACTTCTTAAAGTAGAAAAGGCCATAACTAGAAGAAAATTATAAAAGGATATAATTTCACTGGTAAAAGCAAACATACAGTAAAGGTAGTCAATCATTCACTTAGAAACCTAGTATGAAGTTTAAATAACAAAAGTGGTAAAAACAATTATATCTTTAAAAAAAGGCAAAGAATTCACAAAATAAAAAGGTGAAAAATGTGATACCATATACATAAAATGTGAAGGGGAAAAGAAAAAAATGTAATGCTTCTAAAATGTTTTCAAGCTTAAGCAGCCATCAACTTACCATAGACTGCTATATTATTTAGGATGTTATATATGAATCTCATAACCGCAAACCAAAAACCTGTAACGGATACACAAATATAAAGACAAAGGAGAACACTAAAGAAAGTTATCAATTACAAGGGAAGAATGCAAGAGAAGAGTGGAATAGAGAATAAACTGGAAAACAATGAAGAAAATTTTAGTAAGTACATACCTATCAATAATTACTTTATTTGAAAAAATATTTAATGTTTATTTATTTCTAGGAGAGAGAGAGAGAGAGAGCAAGCGAGGGCACAAACTGGGGAAGGGCAGAGAGAGAGAGGCAGATACAGGATCCGAAGCAGGCTCCAAGCTCTGAGCTGTCAGCACAGAGCCCAATGCAAGGCTCGAAGCCCTGAACTGTGAGATCATGACCTGAGCCAGTCCGATGCTTAACCGACTGAACCACCCAGGTGCCCCTCAATAATTACCTGAAATGTAAATGGACTAAATGCTCCAGATAAAACACAGGGTGACAAAATGGATAAAAAAACAACCCTCCAATGTTGCCAACAAGAAACTCACTCACTTCATACCTAAAGACACAAACAGACTGAAAGTAAAAGGATAGAAAGATATCCATGCAAATGAAGTAAAAAAAAAAAAAAAAGCTGTGGTAGCAATACTTTTATCAGAAAAATAGATTTTAAACAAGGACTGTAACAAGAGACAAAGTAGGGCATTAAGTAATAATAAAGTGATCAATACAGCACAAATATATAACAATTGTAAATATCTGTGCAAATATAGGAGTGCTTATATATATATATATATAAAAAATATGAACAGACATAAAGGCAGAAATTGACAGTAATATGAGAATAGTAGGGAACTTTAACACCCCACTTACATCAATGGATAGATCATCCAGACAGAAAATACAGAGACTGGCTTTGAATTACACATTAGAACATATGAACTTAACAGACATATATAGAATATTCCATCCCCAAACAGCAGAATATACATTCTTTTCAAGTGCATACGGAACTTCTCTAGAATTGATCATGTTAGGCCACAAAACAAGTCTCAATAAATTTAAGAAGACTGAAATAAAATCAATCATTTTTTCTGACCACAAGAATATGAAACTAGAAATCAATTACCAAAAAAAAAAAAAAGGAAAAAGAAAAAACCCAAATGTGGAGATTTGAAAACATATTACTAAACAACCAATAAGTCATAAAGAAATCAAACAGGAAATCAAAAAACTAGAAGACAAAAATGGAAACGTCATGGTTCAAAATTTTGGGGATGTATCAAAAGTAGTTCTAAGAGGGAAGTTTATAATGATATAGCTCTGCCTTAAGAAACAAGAAAAATCTCAGAACAATCTAACCTTACACCTAAAGGAACCAGAGAAGAAAGGAAATCCTATCAGAGTGAAAACAAATGAAAGATGCAAAAAAAAAAAAAAAAAAAATCAAGTGAAACTAAAACTGAGTGAGTCCTCTGAAAAGACACACAAAATTAATAAAACTTTAGCCAGATTCATCAAGAAAAAAGGGAGAGGACTCAATAAAATCAGAAATGAAAGAGAAGTAACAAGCTTTATCACAGAAATACAATGTATTATAAGAGACTACTATGTGAAATTATATGTCAACAAATTAGACAACCTAGAAGAAATAAATTCATAGAAAAACATATAATCTTCCAAGATTAAATCAGAAAGAAATAAAAAACCTGAACAGGCTGATTACTAATAACAAAATTCAATTGGTAATCAAAAAGCTCTGGGGCACCTGGGTGGCTCAGTTGGTTAAGCATCGGACTCTTGATTTTGCCTCAGGTCATAATCTCGAGATTTTGTGAGTTCGAGCCCCACATCAGGGCTCTGCACAGATAATACCAGAGCCTGCTTGGGATTCTCTCTTTCCCTCTTGCTCTGCCCCTCCCCTCTCCCTCTCTGCTCATGCTCACTCTCAGTCTCTCTCTTAAAATAAATAAATAAACTTAAATTTTATTTAAAAAAAACAAACTATTAAGACTACACCAAAATAAAAAGCTTTCACACAGCAAAAGAAACCAACAACAAAATGAAAAGACAACGTATTGTATGGGAGAAGATTTTTCCAATTGATATATCTGACAAGGGGTTAATATGCAAAATATAAAGAACTTCTACAACTCTACACCAAAACCACGAATAATCAACTTAAAAAATAGGTAGAGGATCTGAATCTACCAGACACATGTTGGTCTGATGGCCAACAGACACATGAAAAGATGCTCAACATCACTAATCATCAGGGAAATACCAATCAAAACCACAATGACATATTACCCTACACAAGTATAAAAGGCTAGAATCAAAAAGACAAGAGCAAGTGTTGGCAAGGATGTGGAGAAACAGAATCCCTCATTGACTCTTGGTAGGAATGTAAATTGGTGCAGCCCCTGTGGAAAGCACTATGCAGGTTCCTCAAAAATTAAGAGCAGAGGGGCGCCTGGGTTGATCAGTCAGTTAAGCGTCTGACTTCAGCTCAGGTCATGCGGTTCATGGGTTTGAGCCCTGCATCAGGTTCTGTGCTGACAGCTCAGAGCCTGGAGCCGGTTTCAGATTCTGTGTCTCCCTCGCTCTCTGCCCCTCCCCCTCTCACACTCTGTCTCACAAATAAACAAACATTAAAAATTTAAAAAATTAAGAACAGAAACACTGTATGATCCAGTAATTCCACTACTGGATATTTGCCCAAAGAAAACAAAAACATTAATTCAAAAAGATATATGTACCCCTATGTTTACTGCAGTATTATTTATAATAGCCAAGATATGGAAGCAACCCAACTGTCCATTGATAGATGAATGAAGAAGAGGTGGTATATATAAACAATGGAATACTCTCAGCCATAAAGAATGTAATCTTGCCCTCTGCAACAGTATGAACGGAACTAGAAGGTATTAAGCTAAGCAAAATAAGTCAGAGAGAGAAATACCATATGAATTCACTTATATGTGGAACCTAAAAAACAAATGAGTGAGCCTTACAGAGAACAAACTGATGGTTGCCAGAGGAAGGCAGGGAGATGAATGAAATAAAGGGGATTAAAAGGTACAAACTTCCAGTGATAAAATAATTCATGGAAATAAAAAGTACAGCATAAGAATATAGCCAATAATACTGTGATAATGTTGTTTGGTGAGAGATGGTGAGTACACTGACTATGGCGAGCATTGAGTAATGTAAAAAACTGTTGAATCATTGTTATACACCTGAAACTAATATAACATTGTATGTTAATCATACCGCAATAACTAAAAACCAGTCTGATTAAAAAATGGGCTGAGGACCTGAACACGCATTTTTTTTTTAAAAGACAACACAGAGATGGCCAAAAGACATACAAAAAGATCCTCAAAATCACTAATCACCAAGGAAATGAAAAGCAAAGTCACAAGATCACTTCAGACCTCAGAATCAGCTAGCTTCAAAAACACAAGAAATAAAAGTGTTGGCAAGGAAGTGAAGAAAAAGGACCACTCATGCACCGTTGGTGGGAATGTAAAATGGTGCAGGCATTGTGGAAACCAGTATGCAGGTTCTTCAAAAATGAAAAAAAAGAAAAAAACCCTACCATATAGTAATCCTGCTACTTGATATTTAGCTGCTGAAAATGAAAACACTAATTTGAAAAGATATATGTCCCTCTATGTTTACTGCAGTACTATTTTCAATAGCCAAGGTATGAAAGCAACACAAGTATCCATTGATGGATGAATGTATAAAGACTATGCAGAATATTAGTAATGTAATATTACTCCTCCATAAAAAAGAATGAGATCTTGCCTTTTTCAACATGGATGGGCCTAGGGAATATTATGCTAAGTGAAATAAACAAAGAATGACAAATACTATATGATTTCAGGTATACATAAAATCTAAAAAACAAATGAACAAACAAAACCAGAAACAGATCCATAAAGAGAACAAACTTATGGTTGCCAGAGGGAGGGAGTGTGGAGGGGTGGGCACAGTGGATGAAAGGAGAACAATGGGTACAAGATTCCGTTTCTGAAATGAATAGGCTACAGCATGGAATATAGTCAAAGGTACTGCGCTAGCATCATATGGTGACAGATGGCAGCTACACTTGGCGAGAGCACAACACAATGAATAGAGTTGTCAAATCACTGTTCTACACGTGAAACCAATGTAACATTGTGTGTCAACTATACTTCAATTAAATAAGAAAGTTCTGAAAGATTACTTCATTATGAAATGAGGAAACAGTGGTTCAGCAAAGCTTAAATGGTTTTGGCTTGCGGGTGGGGGGGAAGCGGGGAAAGGGTGGTGGTGGAGAATATTAAGTGGTGAAGAGAATTTAAACATTGGTTTATAACCCTAGTCGTTACATCTATTGTATGAATTAAGTAAAATACTACAGCACACTGTACATTTTTGTAAAGGGGTTTAAACTATTTAGTGAGGAAACTGGGTTTTTATTTGTCAATTAGAGCGAATTATATGAGGATTTTCTCACTATACAAAAAGTCTGAAACGTCTTAGTGATGAAATTATTCACGTTTATCGAAAACATTAGTGTATTCCTTGATGTACTTCAAGCGTTGAATAGGAAACACTTGTCCTAAGTCCTATGACATAATAAATACGTTTCCGTGGGTGAGATACTGATTGGCCGAGCCTATTTTGCTTGATTAGATCCTACTGTTTCTCCAGCAACTCCTCTGAACGTCACTTTCAAGCAGCAGGTAGTAAGTTACCAGTGAAATGTAAAACAAACTTTCCGGAAACACAAAAAGTTGTTTTATTTTTCAAGATACAATAATCGTTAACCCCCCCACGTGAAGTGGATAATAAGAGGAGACGGGCGTCATCTTCTGCAAGTACCTTGGCTTCTTCACAACCTCTTCGAGAAAACCAGGAGATAAGCGAGAGAAGCCAAATCCTGAGAAGATGCGCTTTCCCCTAGCGACCAGCACCCCTGCTCCCTGCCGCCCCGCTCCCCTCGGTCAGTTATGCGACCTCCGAGCCCCCTTTCTGCCTCAAGGGGTCTGAGGGCAGAAAACTGGCTGAGAACCGGCCACCCGACAAACAAACTCGGGTAACGTTTCAGAGACGCGTCTCTAGGGAGTCAGGGTGTCAGTAACTCGCGCCGGCTACTTCAGGCTCCTACTCCTCGGCTGGGACCTTCTCTCCCCACAACTTGTGCCGCCAAGGCCGTCAGGAAAACTGGAACCTCTTTGTCACCAGGCCAGCAGGCCTTATTATAAACTCCCTCAAGCACCTGACTTTCCTAACCAGTCCTCTCTGGTTCCCCTCGGGTCTTGGCAGCTACAGACGAGCTTTTTCTTTACCTCTCCTAAGTCGGCCTCTGGGGAGAGGAAAATGCGCGTCGGGTCTCATTGGCGTCCCGCAGCGGCTCAGCCCAAAGCGCGCTCCTCCCCTTCTCGCTCGCTTCTCCCCCTCCCTCCGGCTGCCCTCCCGCCTGGAGTGAGGAGCTGGAACTGAGAGCCGCGGAGGACACGCATGCGCGCCGCGGGTGGAGCCGCTGGGCAAAGAACCGGAAACTTAAGAGACAAAGTTCGGAGCCCCGCCCCCCGCCGCTCTGCCCCGCCGTCAGGCCCCGCGGACCCTCGACCCGGCCGCTTCCCGTTTCGACTAATCTGTCCCGCTCTCGCGAGCGCCATGTCGGGTTCCTCCAGCGTCGCCGCAATGAAGAAAGTGGTTCAACAGCTCCGGCTGGAAGCCGGGCTCAACCGCGTGAAGGTGAGCGGGGGCGGGCGGACGAGGGGGACGGGAGGGCGGAGGCGGCGGCGGGTGGGCGGCCGAGGTGGCTGTGGCGGGCAGCAGTCTCGTCCGGCTTCTGTTTCGTCTGGGGACGACGCGCGCTCGGCGCCGACGACCCGATCCGGGAGCGGCCAGCTTTAGAGAAGTAGCGGCGCGGGTCGGCGCTGTTGTTCGGAGGGTGGTTAGCGCGCCCTTCCGCGCCAGGGCTTTCCCAGGCAGGCTGGCCCCGGGGCTGAACTGCTGCTTTCCGCATTCCGGTCGCCCTTCTCTCTCCCTCCCTCCGCCGTGACTCCGCGGCTGGCTTGGGCAACAGCTGCCCCTCCGCGCGCCGTCCGCACCCTTCTAGTCCTTAGCTTACCACACCCCACCCTTTATTTTCACTGGACAGTTTTATCTGACTTTTAATTCAGAACAGAACCTATTTTCATGTCGAACTTTCCCAAGCCCACTCCGTGCTAGCTCCTCTTGTCCTCCGAACACATACTTGAAAACGAGTTTTTGCGCACGCAAACTGTAAGTTACAGAAGCGTGTTTGTTTTCGAAACGTCCCCGGTGTCTAAGGTTACCACTGGTGTTCTGTTCAATCTCATACAAAGCGTGCATTTCATACCTACTCGGCACAGTTTACTGTGATCTGACCTTGGAAATACCTACTGGTTTGCATACCTTAGTGACCAGGTTGGACTAGTCTTATTTGTTTTGCCGTCTAGTTAATACTGACCTTGTCTTGGGGCATTTACTTTGGGTGGAAAAAAGCCTTTTGTGTGTGTTGATAGGACAACCTGACATTCAAGTGCTATTCCAAGTTTCTCCTGATTTTTAAAATCCTAAATGGAGTCGCATCTTTCTGATGCAGGTCATCTTACAAGTGAAACACCTCTTGTAATTAAAAAATAATAATAACATAAATCACGCGCTCTGTTGAAAGCAGCAGCCAGGTTTCAAGATGACTTGTGTACTCATCTGGTTAGTGTTTACTTCTCCCTGAAATGTTTTTATGGAGTAAGATAGCCTCCCATTTACCTACTTCCTTAAATAGAAATGTCAGGGACCTAGCCTATTCAGTTGTGGTCACCTCAGGAGGGAAGGGAAATTCCCATTAGTTTTGGTGTGGGAGTCCCATCACTTCCTGCCCTTTAAGTGCTGTAGACTCCATTGCTATGGAATCCGTTTCTCTCATTTCCAGCTTCTTAACTCATCTCAGTGGTTTATGTACAGTCTTGGTTGGATTTAACTCTGAAATTTGAATCATAGGTTTCTTAACCAGCCATTACATGAACATTCATGTACGCCTTTATCACAGGTTGGAGTGGCCCAGGAAAGAAAAAAATGGGAGTGGGACGAAAAAAAAAAAAAAAAAAAGGCTGGTTGAAAGTAGTAAGTGTTCAGTGGGGGGACTTAGTCCTTGTCTCAAAAGAAAATGAGATGAAGCCCTCAGATTCAAGTACTCTAAGGGTTTTACCATGAAAAAACCCCAGTAAAATATACTCCAGTAAATTTTCTAGCTGATGCCTGTCTCTTACACTTCATTCTTAGGAGGCTTCTGGTGTGGAGCATTAAAATTTACACCACAGGTGACTTGGTTTCAGAGCTATTTCATCTCGTCCTTAGGGATGTAGCAAGGAGGGGAGGGTATCCCACCTTGGACTTTAAGTGAACTTTTCTTTAAATCTGTTGTAAAATGTGGTTAGAGTGATTTTATTTTGTCCATCTATTTTATCCATGACTCTGTTCTAGATGCTTTTTTTGGTGATATTTTTAAATTAGCATGAGTTTATACTGTTAAACCTTTATGTTTGACCACAGTTGATAGAAATTTTCACAAATGCTTGACCAACTCTACCATACGTAGGGTGACCGTGCATTGTATTACCAACTGAAACACTTCTGAGAGTGAAAGGGCATTAATAATTATGCCATGATTATAGGGTTTCAACCTCCTGGATAGTAATTATTACTGTGCTTTAGGGGTAGCAGCTTGTTTGAGTTTTAGAGCCTTTGTCTCAGTTCACTCCACTGCTTGGAATTCTCACTGATCGTTTTTCACTGATAGTTACTTGGTTGGATCTCTTGCCATTGAGATTTTCGTTTAAACATCACCTCCTCAGAGACACTTTCCCTTAGGTCAAGATCTAACCACTCTATTTCTGAAGAGCTCCTTGTCTGTATTTTCTGCTGAACTGTCACTTCCATAACAGGGATCTGGCTGCTCTTATGTATTCTCAGTGCCTAGAAGTATATTTGGTACATAATGGTGCTTGTGAAGTTTGTGAAAGGGAGTGAAGTTGGAGCCTGCCTACACTTTGGGCAGAAAGTTAACAAATACTTTGTCCTTACTGCTCATTAATGTGAATGAAACCAAGTTTTAAGTGTGTAAAAAATGATACCTTGCATTCCCCCACTTTAATTGCATACACCTTTTGGTGGATAAGCAGGGTGGCCATTTATTATAACTCTTGGTAACAGGTATTTACATATTACTTTACACAGTTGCTAAATAAACCTGTGGAACTCATTATTACCCTGGACTGTTGTAGAAGTCACAAGTACAAATAGATTTCAAGACTTGAGATTCATCTTGGGATGATGTATCTTTTTACCAGGTAAATGTCTGGGCTACAGCAGTAATTTTCAGGATTTCTTCTTATAGAGAATATTTGTGATACTTTCACCTCCCTTTCAAAGGCAAATGCCCAGCTGAACTGGATACCTGCTCTCACCCTTCTTGAGGATATTTAAAACTGAAAACAAAATTATTTTTCCCATCTTCCTAAACCTCAAGACTTATCAGAATATATACAAATAGTAGATGTTTAAGTGATACCTAACCCTTAAGTCCTGTTTGAGCGGCATTGCATACATATATGAAAATTATTAAGTCACATCTAAGCAAATACACCACTCCTTAAAGGCAGGCTGCTCAGTGGAGTTGCTAAAATAATTCAGTGTTTGCTATCGGCTTTTTAGTTACATGACATTTAACTGTCCAGTTTTGTAACATTAAACAGCAGATGGTACATAATACCAAAACAATGAACTGAATGGTTCAGATTTATAACATGATGTTCATTTTCCTAGTAATATATATGCTTTCAAGACAGTAATAATTGGCTAGAATTATAATACCTTTTGTTTGTATTTTGGGTACAGTTTTTAATAAAATACATGTTGAGTAACCTGAAGGTTGAGTACCTCTAAAGTTGATTAATAAACTACCATGATGGGTTTTTCTTTGCAGATGTACTAAATCATTTGATGCTTTTAATAAGCAAAAGTATACTATAAACTAGTCCTTTGTGTACATGCAGTGTTTTAAGTATGACCTCAGTATATGACTCCTTACTTTCAGTCAGTATATGTCTTCTTTTGAGTTGTTTATTGCAGGTATTTTCAAAGATTTGAGAAACCTTCATCAAAACAGTCTCATCTCCCACTACCCCCTTCTTTTGTACAGGTATCCCAGGCAGCTGCAGATTTGAAACAATTTTGTCTGCAGAATGCTCAACACGACCCCCTGCTGACTGGAGTGTCTTCAAGTACAAATCCCTTCAGGCCCCAGAAAGTCTGTTCCTTTTTGTAGTAAAAGGAATCTTTGAATGGTAAGTTTCCTTTAGAGGGTTTTTAACTGCAGTGTTTATGGGGACAACTTTTAATACGTGTACTACCAGTTGATTTGGATTAATTCTGATGTCATTTCTCTAATAGAAACCAGCTGTAGCACAGCATGGCAAAGAATTAATTGGGAGTTGGGAATGCAAGAGAAATTCAGGAAATAGTTGAATAGACTGACATGGTGTAGACATTTGTAGTGGGGGATAACAGGTTTTACTCTATTCTTGTTAGGTAAAGATACAAAAGAAATGAAGTGTAGGAGTTCATGGGGGCAGGCAGTGGATTTGAATTCAGCTTTCAGGATGGGCTGGTTTAAAGCATGTGTCCATATATTCCATTTCAAATGTCTGTGTGTGCAAAAATGTATAATGCTAATCCAAGAAAGATTTTCACCAAAAAACATGCTATGGATAATTTTAATATGTAATCTAAGGATGCTACCTTTTATAAATACACAGTACTTAAGTCAGAGGGTGTACTCATATTGACCTATGAGAAGCAACCTTAAACTAATAGTGTTAAAAAAAAAAAAAAAAGACTATGGGGGTGCCTGGGTGGCTCAGTCACTTGAGCGTCTGGCTTTGGCTCAGGTCATGGTCTTGCGGTTTGTGGGTTTGAGTCCTGAGTCAGGCTCTATGCTGACAGCTAGCTTGGAGCTTGTTTCAGATTCTGTGTCTCCTCCTCTCTCTGACCCTCCCCTTCTCATGCCGTCTCTCTCTCTCTCAGAAATAAAACATTAAAAAAAAAAGACTATGGCACACACCCTTTACAAACATTCTAACTCCTCAAAGTTCAGGAAGCCAGCTTCCTAAAATACCATGTTACATAGCTGTGCCCTCCCTAATTAAGCTTTGTAGATTTGGGAGTATCCAGGAAGTCAGCCTGTTTCCAGTAAATACAATGATTGGTTAAGATTCTGAAACACAAGAAACCACCTTTGAGTAACAGGTTTTCCATAAGGAAGTAGTTCTTTTTAACAGCCTAACGTGTTCATATTTAATAGTGAATAGTTCTTTGCTTCAGCAATACTAAATCTACATGGCAGTTTTTGGAAAATTGATTTTTATGGCTATCTTAAACCTCTGTTCCCCACTGTATTCATTTTATAAAGTGG